GTATATGAAAAATGCATCACTTCAGTGAACTCAGACTTACCAGCTGAATGTGGTTTTATACAAGCACTAATAGAACAGCACAATCTGTCAATAGAAAGAAAATCTGTTTTCCTTCTCCTTTTTCCTTTAAGATCTCCACCTCAATCAACAGCTGTAATGCTTGCAGATTTTCAGTGTCTTCTGGCTTAGATATTTGGGATATAACATCACTTTTAAAATATTAGTCTCTGGTTCTGTGCATACTAAATGGGTTACATCTAAAAGACTTCCATCTGGAGAAGAAGAGAGGCAACATACCATTAATAACCCAGCTGCAAACCTCAAATTCTCTGTCCCATACATACAACCAAAAAGGCAGAGAACAGAAATATGAGTGCATCTGTAAGTAATAAAACGTTTCCTTCCATATGTCACTTACCTCTCTTCCATCTGAGTTTCAAACAGCCACGACAGCCATGGCAGACATTACTTCTGTGCTGCTCCTCGCACCAGTTTTCTTGGCTTCATCCACTTGGCATAAAAGTCTTTAACGTCTTACTCCTAAATCGTCCCCACGTAATGGGAGGACTGACTGTAACAGCAACACTGGAAAAGGGAATGGCTAGCGCACCATCCTTTTCTAACTCTCCTATTGTCTGAAGATTGTTTTCAGTTTTTTGCCATTGTAATTTCGATGAATGATTTGTGCCTTTCATGAGATGATGAGTCAGAAAAACCTTTTTTGCTTTGTTTCCTCTCTCACTTAGTGTCAGAATGAGGTTTTTTTAATATGTTCTGGATGATCTAAAGTTATTAAATAAAAAATAATTTGAAACGTAAGCTTTAGTAAAATAAAGACTTTTGAAATTTTAAATTCAACATATAACTGGTATGGGGATATCATTTATCTAGTACTTAATGGGTGCTAATCTACACTACATCCGTGAGATTTATATTTATGCCAGTCTAGTCAATAACCAGACAGAAATCAGTGATCATTGGCATGTAGCCTGTGAAGTATTTAGGTCACAGGATTTTGCAGCATTATATTCTTGGAATAAAAATGTAAGTGGGATAACAATGATGGACGAGAATGCAATCTCTGTCAAGAGGTAATGAGCAGGTTTTGTGGCTTCAGGGCCAGATCAAAGGACTGGTAACAGAGACATCCTTGCCTGGTGTTCCTGCTGTTTTAATAGATCTGAAAATAAGGCTGTTACATAAAAGTGACCTGAGTGCAGTTATTTCAATTGTTAGCCATAGGAAACAGACCCTTAAATATTTGGCCTTTATAAGAACTACAAATAGATTTATGGAGTTAGAATTTGCAAACTTTTTTATATTTCCTTCTAAGCATGTTGAAGTGCTAGTACAGACCTTTCTCTGTCCAAGCCTACTGACAATAGACTTGTTTTTCCAACTTATCTTTTGTGAACACCCTGAAAGTAGTCCACAGGCCCCCATGGATTTCCAACTGACAAGCAAGAATCATTTCTAGAGCAAATATTAAATCTAATTTATTTTTACATACTATATAATGGCAAAGCGTGGGTTTGGTACTTGATACTCACTTAAGCACCATGAAGTGTTCTTTTATTTTCATTAACTATCTCTCATTTTGCTAAGCTTAATTTCCATGGAATTATTTTTAACCTCTGTGCCTCTTCTGTTAACTGTTGGGCTTTTCTCTTTATTCTTAACCTGAAGGCAGTTTTCATTCCAAGTAGCAGTGTGTGCTTCTGAGCAACTGGGATAAGAGATGCAAGCTGTGGGTGTGGAGTGGCAGCCCCTACCCCAAATCTACTAGCCATCTTGCAAAGAGAGTCAGTCTGGGGACAGTGCAGTGCATTTATCTATGCAAATGTCTGGAGAGTTTTAGGCTAGAGGATGCTGCTTTGCACCTTTGGTTTGAGAGAGTGCTCTCTAGATGAGAATCATTTCTACTGGAAATGGGCTGAAGCAAGGGGCTAGAAGCTGCAGAGCATCTTCCTCAGGTGGAGCTTGATGTTTAAGATGAACGCATTTGGGGTTCATTATACCATATATTTCTTCCTACAGTAACTGTTGTACTGGATCTATAAGACTGTTTACTCATTCTGATGGAGTTGTGCCATCCACAATGCTAGAAATTAATTAATGTTTCACATTGTATCCTTTGCATCCCCAGAAAAAAATACAATGGATGTTCAAATTGCTGCTGAAAACTACCCAGGCTTTTCTTCCATTTCTTTTCCTCTGTTTTCAGCTGGTTTAAATCTTGAGAATATCTCAGCATAGTAAGAAATGAAAGCTTTGGCAGCTAAAAAGCCATAATTCATTGAAAGAAAGGGAGTGAATATGATGATGGGGAGCCTGGCTGACCAGGCACTTACAGCTTGGGCTGGGTTGGATTAGCTGCTCAGCTGTCTTAAAAAAACTGAATCTTTAGAACTGTCAGGGATCATTTCTGTCTTCTCTGACTCCTGTGAGATGGAAAAGAGAAAAAAAACAGGTTCATTTGTTTTGGAGGGAAGGTTGTTTTGGGTTTTTGTTTATTTATTGAATTCTACTAAGTTTGCTTCTTATACAGACAGAAGTGGGAAATGGCCTGGGGAACAGATTGATTTGTAATTTCATATTTTTATTCAACATTAAAAATTCTGGGCACAGATGTATGATGCTTCTGTTCTCATGCAAACTAATTTTCATTCACTAACATTTGCCAACTCAGGCTGCTTTTCAGCTGTTATCAAATGCTATTGGCAGTTTCCATTGTTAGGAAATTTCACAGGGTAGGTCTTTAAATTTTTTTCCCAGCTTGGTGTTGGTTGATATTTACTACCTCTGATAACTTTTGAATATTGTATGCCTTTTCTACATTCATTGGCAGCCACCTGCATTTCCTTTTAAATATGTTTTGTTTTTTACTGTCTGATATGGAGGAGTGGGTTGTTGTGTACCACAATTACAGCTGAAAGTAAAATGGGGCAAAGTGGCTCTGTCCATTGTGGAAGCCTGATCAACAGCAGGATATTTGTCGCATGACAGGGAGCTGTTTTCCTATACGGAAACAGTCTCAGCTGCTTCTTAATTACAATACCACCCCTATACACCTACTGAGGTACTTCAGGCCTTCCTTTGGAGACATCTTTTAAAGGAATTAAGTCATTTGATGGTGACCAGACATTGTCTTGAATTTCTGCTTTGGACTGCAGCCAGTTCCAGGCAGACTGTGTGAACTAGCAGCAGCAGATGAGAGTAGGCCTTTTGTAAACCTGTTTTAAAGAGAGCTTTTTTTCCCTGCACATATCCCACAGGTAAAAGCTGCCATAGCAAGAGCAGCCTTTGACCCAGTATCACATTGTTTTTCTTTTCCTCTGTAGAAGAAAAACAGCACAATACTGTTTTAGGTCAAAGCTGTTCAGAGAAGTGTTAAGTACTCCCAGTGCAAATGTCTTTTTACTCTGAAATACTCCAATAATCACAATGGCCTTTCTGCTTTCCATGAAGAACAATTTTTATTGTAGATCAAACTGAAGAACAGGTTTTTTTGCTGTGAAGTAGCTTAGAACTGGAATCTGTTGCCAAAAATCTTTTTAAGAAAGCCACAAATGTCTTCAACAATACTTTTAGATCTTTGAGGGAAAAAGAAGTACCTTGGAAAGGCAGATGTGGGTCTGTGCATACAGGAGTTACCCCCTTCACAGTTTGGTACCCCTTTAGGAAAGCTACAGTGAATGTTACATAGAATAAAAAGGGCAATCAATGTTGTACAGTAAAAAGTAAGGTGGAAACGCTCATGACTCAGAGCAGCAGGTTTGGGTGCTTGTATGTGAGACAAACCAAATGTGTTCTGGTACAGCATTTTGGTGTTTGGCTTTTTTACTTAAAAATCGCTTTGCAACTGTCATACTTTTTTCAACAAGTTGTGGCAAATGGGCGTTCACAGAAATGCTGGTAAAAGCAATAGTAGTATTAGTAGCAGGTACTTTTTAAGTCAGTGAAGATACATGGCTTCCATTAGATGGTTTATGCTCTGTTGAGAAAGCATAAGCTGCTGTGGAGGAAGATAATTTTTAGTCTTTCAAAGCCTGAGTTCTTAATCTAAAAGGATGACTGAGACCTTGTTTTATTATCAGCTCATTTTAGCAGAATCTCTTTTTAGTGGGGAAATAATTGCAGACATAAAAATGTGGTGAAAGTAACAGGAAGCCAAGTTACAGCCTGTTGAAGCTACATCTAAATTTTAAGAGATATTAATTCATTTAGGAAATGGAGCATTTTGCCTGTCCAGAATTTTGGAAATGTGATGTCTGATCTGGCTGGAAATGTCATAATCCTTAATCAACAGCACTGTTTTGGAAACATTTGTATTCTGTAGTCCCAGCTGCTCATTCTAACTTGTAAAGAGTTTTGTGAGGCTTGGCTAGCTATACCTTTGACATGTTTTTTGATATGTGCTCTTGTTGCTTCCTATTTGAGATCAAATGACAGACTTCATGAGACAGCTTGTAGATTTGTATGTTTTAGATCTTGATCTAGGGTTTGAATCCTGGGATTTGCTTCTTTCTTGTCTCAGAAGCTCTGCAGAGTCTATGCAGACTACTGCAAATCCTATTTATTCACTTATGCATTGAATGAGATGATGTGTGATTTGAAGGGATCGTTTTTGTGATTTTAAGGGTTGTTTGGATGTGATGTTGGTGGATATAGTTTAGGGGAGAACTTTGTAGAGTATGGATGATGGTTGGACTTGGTGATCCCAACGGTCTCTTTGAACCTGGATAGTTCTGTGATTCTATGATTCTATGGAGGGTGCTTGCTTCCTAAAGAGTGGGTTGTTTCTTAGTTTGCATTGTGCAGCCTTGGATATTTTTTCTTGGATATTTTTTCAAACATCTGAGACAATCTGTTGCATAAACTGAAAGTATAAAATGCTAAGTGTGCCATCATCAACTTTGAAAATATGATTGAAGATTAAGAGACTGCTATGTGGGACAACTTGTTACCTTTTTAACCATTCCCTCTTATCTGTTTTCCAGAGAGCTGATTTGACTTCTGATAAAGATTTATACCTTGACAACAGCTCTGTTGAGGAAGCATCAGGAGTCTATCCAATTGATGACGATGATTATTCTTCTGGGTCAGGTTCAGGTGAGACAACATGTCATGATTTACTTTTTAAAAATGTAAGGAATAGTGCAGTTATTGGAGGAAAAGCTGTCTACTTTTCCTTTATAAGCTGGAGATTACACTTTCTGTGGGTACCCTGAGTGCTTGGCTCTCTATTTACAGAGCACCAAGTGTTCCTGAGGGCTGGGTTTTAAATATTAACGTTCCGCTCTTTTCTCCTAGTCATTAGTTGCATCATTTCACTGCCTGTTTCTGCTGTCCCTCTGGTTTCTGTGTAGATCTCTCTGGAGTTCAGAAAGAAGGATTAGAGAAGGCTTAGTTTTCCCAAAGCAAAATGCTAATTTAGTAGACCATAAGAAAACATACCAGCAGCGAACTTGTTTTCTCTTGTATGCATTCAGGTTCACGTAAACATGGTGTCCAGCCTTTTTTTGTTATTGTTCTTTTAAATTTAGAAGTCTAGGTACTGCCCATAACATGATAGTCTGAGGTAATTACATCCATATAGTGAATAAAGAAATTCTTAAACATAACATACTGATTTATCAGACTTAAACACTCATTAGAGGCATGCAGCTAGCCCAGAAATTTTTTTTAAAAGTCAATGAAACCTCATTAATAATTTATCTTAAAAAACCTCTTTGTGGAGTATCTTCTAGACTTTCTGGGAGGCTCCAGCCATTAAAAAAGAAGTGCAGGATTTTCTGGTAGTTCTGGAAGATAAATTCCCTTATTATTATGAGCATTTGCTGAGTTATTGTGGAAATCCCATTTATTTTCCAAGTGTGTTACTTACCTGTTTGTTATTGCACTTTTTAATCTGTCTTTTCACGTTTATGTTTACTTGTGAATTTTTAAAGGGTGAGCCCTTCATGTAGCACCTTGTCTTTGTTACCTTGTAAGCCACAGCTGAGTTTTTTGGATGGATTTTTGGGTTTCCTTTCTTTTGGACGTTCAAAGGTATGTTAAAATGAAGTCTACAGAGCTCTGATTATGCTGCTAGGCAAATTCAGGTTCATCCATTGTGACCACCTGGGTAATTCTCTCCATTTTAGGAGTCCTCCATAGGGGCAATTTGATGTTCCAATGTGATCAGAGGATTAATTGTACCTCCTTGCTGTAGACTTCTTTGAGGGGAAATGTAACATTTAATTTGAAAAATAAATAAATACAAAAATTAACAAGGCGCTGATTTAATCCAGTTCCCAGGACTAAGGAAAATTACAATCTCTGAGAAAATTGCCCTTTTCAGTCAGCACCTTACTCTGCCATGTCTTCAGATGCTGATGACTTTGTAAGCTTCAGGAAAGGAGATAAGTTGACAATAGATAACAATATGAGGAATGATCTGGTTTGTTTTTTTGTTTTCATCCCTCAGTGGAGTTTGGCTGTTTCTAATCTGGATGATTCAAAATGCAGCCCTGCTTTTGAAGTGTAGAAGAACTGGCTTATTTAACCCATCTCAGTGGTAAAAGTGGAGCCAGGAAGGACAAAAGGATAGAAACTACAAGTAGACTGCACCAACAGTAACACCTTGGCTTTCTTTTCTCTCTTTTCCTGGGCTCAGCCTTGAGCCATGGGTGGAAGATGCAGTATACAGCAAGCACTACTGCTTCCTCTGGCAATCTCTGTTTCTTTACTACAAGAAAGCAGGAAAAATCTCATAGTAGACTGACACTAGCAGGATGCCCTTCCAGAGACCTCATGCAACAGTACCAAAATCCAGTATTTTTTATCAAAGGAAGAACTCTTACATTCAAATAATCTTGGAAGCAATCTGTGAGCCCAGTTTTGTTAGGTTAAGAAAAAATCTCGAGGGAAGCAAATTAGCATCACCTTCACCCTACTCATCCTATACTTACTGCTGTCACCACATTGTGGAGTAGATAATGTCCTGAGGATGTATCAAATATCAATTTTCCTCATGTTCAATGTGTCTTTCTTTACTTGATACTCCATAATGTAGTGTTCCTAGCAGGAAGAGCCTTCCCACTCAAGAGTGGTTTTCTTGCTATGTAATTCAACTCCAAGCAAAGAGATCCAAGATGACAACATGCTGACTCTTTTCTTTGGTATGAAAATTGTTAGCTGCCACCAGGCCCATGGAGATAAAAAGGAATTGTCAGCATCACCATTAATGCCCTTGCAGGTCTGCAAGCAGCATTAACATGGACAAATATCACTGTAAACATGACACATTTCAAACTAGAAACTGGCTGAAGGCTTTTTCTAAGGAGAAAAAAGGTGTTGTGTTCTGCTTTTTTTCTAGCCTTTCATAGCCTCTTTAGTCTTCATGTACATTCAGCTGCTGTTGTGTGTTTGCCCAAGTGTCCAGTCCAAATCCATTGTCCTACAGCTTCCAAAGGAGTCATGCCTGCTTCCTAATTGTCCTGTATCAATAGCAGAAGGTCTGCAGTGAATTCATCAGTCCTTTGTTTTCTTCTTGCAGCCTCCATCTCTGAAGAGACGCTTCATTCTGTCATCAGTCTTTTTAGTGTAGATGTTTGCATATTGCATAATAATAAATGAGTAAAATTAAGTTTTTCTGCCTATATAAACGTGAAATGCTTCTATAACTAATGTTGCTTTTTCCTCTGGCATAAAAGATCTTAACTGAGCCCTGGTCCTGCAGCTAGCTGGAATTAGCTGCTAAACATCATGACTACTCTATATGTTAAGGAAAGCCTTCATCTCTATTAGATTTATCTACACATTCTTTGGAAAACTGTCTTGTTTCCTGTGTCTTCGCTTAAGTTACACCTGATAGACAATTCTATGCAATATATACCAGAATCTGATGCAGATACTCTTTCTGCTTCCTTCTCTTCCCCCAGCCTAATATTTCTCAGTCAGTAACAGCTTGAGTTCAGAAGATTAGCTCAGGATCAACTAAGTCTAGACTGACACTGTGACTGGGAATTGTTCTTGGAGGAACGTTATGGTGGTGGCACTTGAGTTTCTCCAAGAAACACAAGAGCAGATCTGCTTTGGCTCTTGACCTACTGGGAAGCTGAAGTTATACTCCAAGGCTAAAAGGTAGTTTTGGAGTCACAGAACCACCAAGGCTGGAAAAGACCTTTAAGATCCTCAAGTCCAGCCTATGACCAACACCACCACATCAGCTAGACCATGGAACTAAGTGCCACATCCAGTATTTCCCTGAACACATCCAGGGACAGTGCCTCCACCACTTGCCTAGGCAGTCCATTCCAATGTCTAATCATCCTCTCCATGAGGAAGTACTTCCTAATATCCCACTTAAACCTCCCCTAGAGCAGCTTGAGGCCATGCCCTCTTGTCTTGTTGCTAGTTGCCTGGAAAAAGAGCCCAGCCCCCACCTTACTACAACCTCCATTCAGGTAGTTGAAGAGAATGATAAGGTCCTCCCTGGGTCTCCTCTTCTCCAGGCTGAACAACCCCAGCTCCCTCAGCCTGTCCCTATAAGACTTTCCCTCTAGTCCTTTCACCAGCCTTGTTGCTCTCCTCTGGACCTGCTCCAACACCTCAATAACCCAGTGGTGGCAGTGTGGTGTGGGGCTGGGTGAGGAGTGGGGGCTGGGGCAGGCACCATGGCTAGGTGTGGGAGGCACAGGTGCTCTGCCAGGTGCTGGATGGGAGCTGTCATGGAGGCCGTGGCCAGTGCTGGATGCTCTTGGCCCCAGTGGCAGTGTGTCTCACAGGCATGCCAGATGTGGTGACACAGCCTCTCCTGATGTGCTTCCCCTCCCAAGTTGCAGTTTCTACTTCCTAAGATCCCACTCATGTGCTCTTCATACTGGCTTGGAGTAAGAGATTCCTCTGTCCACCTGCTACAGCAACCCCAAGCATGTTTCGTGACATTGAATGCCTGGTTCTCCAGGCCCTTTAACATAAAACCTTCTGCGATACTGTTTGAAGGTGTGTTTTTGTTGTGCTGGGCAGAATCTTCAGTATTCTTCAGAATAGTTAGGACTCTTCCTTTTGTTTCCTTCAAGTTTTGTTGTTTTCTTTTCCCCTTCGCAGGTGAGAATTACCAGAGACAGAACATCCTTGCACTGTGTCCCCATTTAGTTCAGCTGCAGTTCCCAGTGTCATCCCTGGTTGCCTAATCCTGTGTTGATCAAGGGTTGTGTTGGGGGATTTTCATGTGAATGGGGATGAGATAAGACAGCTAAAAATATGTCATTCTGCTATGTGCCACACTGATGATAGAGATGGAAAGTGTGAAAGAGATGGTGGGTATGTGTGTACCCACCTTATGACAAGTTTGCTTGTGGTGGTAGCACTCCCGGAGTGCAGTGTGTAACAACAAAAAAACATTATGCCAAAAGACAGAGTGAAGTAATTGGATTTGTTCGATAGGAAGAGTTAATCACTGCCTGCTTTGCAAGTAAGAGTGTAAACTACTGTGGGCTTTTTGTAGTATACAGTGATTTAAGCTGGCACAGTCTTCATTGCCTGACAAGTTTCCTCAAGCACCAAGAGTGTGAAAGAGCATTTGCATTCCCGTCATCCACAGGGCAGCTAATAAGACACATCACTGAGGGCTATATTAGGTATTACCAATACTACAGTACAATTTGGAGCTATTTTGATCACTTTGAAGGCAGCAGCTGAGGTTGCAGTGGCTAAAAGATGGTTGTGTGATGGTCAAGGTGTCTCAACTCTTTACCACAGAGATGGCTATGGGTTCAATGAATGCAGGGTTTCCCCTCACTAAGAGGGGAGTATCTATTTGTAGAGAGACTTGAGGCAGGTAATACTCAGCATTGTCACCCAAGTTGACCAAATCCAGAAACCTTCTAAAGAGACACTGATGTTTTCAAGAGGAGGAAGCAAGCTCTTACACTCCAACCATTTTGCAGTATTCCTCTCAGCAACCTAGGTGGATTATGCCCATGACACTCTGTAGATTTTTCTTTCCAGTCCTATTTGGATTCAGGGAGGGGAGTAGTTTTTTTGTTTTGTTTTGCTTTTTTTTTTTGCCTTTTAGGGAGAATGGTACTGTGTGAAATGCTATTGCTATGTTCTGGAGAGCATTAGAGAGGATTTTTGAACCCTTGGTCCTATTTACGGGTAATTTTGAGGATACTACTGTCAGTTTAGCGAGGGAAATGCCATCCCCTTGTTTAGATGTACTCCATGCTAAGAAGAGACCTGTCTAGATAAAACTAATTAGAAACCAGGAACCATGGGGATGTGTCTGAGCCAGTACCTGAGTCAGGCCTAAGTGACAGGTGCCCTGATGTTTCGGGGATTGTCAGGATTCTTCTGAGTCTCTACGGAAGAAGAGTTGGGTACCTTTGGTGCAAATCTAGTGACTAGTCCAAAAGCTTGATTAGTCAGCTATTTGTTAAGAGACTGGAGATCTGTATCCTCCATCGCTAGAGAGATTCAGGCCTCTGGTGCTCACCATTTTGTCTGGCAGATACAACTGTTGCCTGAAGTAGAGATGCGATTTAAGGATTTGGAGAAGCAGTTGTGATTAAATGGGACTTAATCATTTCATAAAAAGAAGGAAATAAAGTTCTGTGCTCTCAACATGTGATATATCAGATCTGTAATCTGATTATTTCCCCAATTTTAATTTCCCTGAGTCTGAAAGTCTTGAATAATTTGGAGGAACTTTGGAAGGTAAAGCTGGATGAGCCACCCATTAGGCCCTTATTTCTCAAAGAAAACTCTTGAGGCAAAGCCAGACATTTTTTCCTGTTGGATGCCTTCCCTCACTTCTGTTTTGAAGCAGGATTTTGTTTTTTTGATCTTTGAGTAGCATTTCAGGAAAATACCTGCTTCTTGTTGTGAGGTCTTTATTCTGGAGGCTGCACTGAAATTTTGGTATCTCTGAAGGTTTTTCCAGTACTCTGTGCTGGTAGCTTTAATGTACTACTTTTTTAAATGGTTCCAAATTTTCTGTATGCAGTACAGAAGTTGTTGTAGCTATTGTCTCATTAATGCCCTTCCTTTCAATGCCAAATGTATATAATTCTTGATCACAAGTTCAAAACTTTGTTACTGTGCTCATGTTTTCAGCCTGTTTACTTTCTCTACAAAAATAAGATTAAAAGTCAATTTGGATTGAGTGAGTCATACTGTTCTGTTGTAAGAGGATATATTTTTGTTTGTTAGGAATTATTCTTACGGACATTTGCTGGTTTTATTACCCCATAGTTACTTGGGTAACCAGTGTCTGTAATGAACAGAACACATTGAGATTCCTAAGGAGTGATCCAAGAATGAGTTGGTTCTTTCCCTCTTTCAAGCCTTGCAGTAATTTAGTCTCTTGTCTATTCTTCCTTCCAGTATCACTAAAAGATATTTATTAGATGTGTCCATTATCTTATTCTAAAGGAGCCTTCATACTCCAGGAGGGCTTTGAATGTGGAGGAAATTAAATTTAAGGTTATCTTCAGGGAGTTTTATGTCCTCTTACTCTTTATTTCAAAATAAAAAGACTTCTGAATTATGTAGCGTTTAAAAACGTGAATTCCTAGTGACTGAAATCTAAAGTAATAGCAGTCTTCCTGTAGATAGAAACTACTTGGGTTTTTTTTATGTTTGAGGGTTTAACAGATTGTGTAGAGGAGAGATTTTGTTATTGAAGTAGTGTGTTACAGTGAAAAACTGTTCAGCTTATGTGGTGTAAGTCAAGTCAAGATAAAGTTTGTTTGTTGATTTATTTAACATATGCAATTACCTGGCAATCATTTGGCTTAATATCAGCAACACAACAGATAACCACAATAACTACACTTTAAAAATGTTAACATGCAACTACAAATTTCCAACCCCCCCTCTGTAACTGATCCCAATGTGTGCCATGCACACAGATATTTGCTGTGGAGCGAGCCAGCTCCCCTCATCTGGTGTGCAGGACCCCCTGCCCACACACCCCGCTGTGCCCCCAGCCTCATGAGGTTCCAGGACCCCAGCACTTCCTGCCACCCCCAGGCGGTGACCCTGCACCCTCAGGGTGTAGGTTCCAGAGGTGCCCCATGGTGGCTCTGGGAGAGCTGGAGGTGGCTGCTGGGGACACCCCTGAGGTAGAGAGTGGCACTGCCAAGGCCCAGCAGAGCCCTTGGTGCCACAAGGCCTTGTCAGACAGGGTCACACCAGCCCTCACAGCTGCTGCTTCCACTCCAGGGTTTCTCCCTCAGTTCCAAGTGTTTATGCTTTTTTCCCACTTCTTTTCAGGCTGCTTCCTTCTGTTTCAAAAATATTGTTGGTAATTCCTGGTTACTGCTTAATCCAGCTGATGTAACCCCTTCCCCTTTTATGGGATCACTTGGCACAAATATCCCCCTGACAGCTTGAGGCACACTGTTTGCACTCACATCTTTATCTTAGCAGGCATTGTCTCCTAGACCATTTTTATAGAGCAGGCTGTGCAAGCACCCCTACCTTGGTGTCATAATAAAAAGTGTAATTGGTCTGGAAGAATTTCACAGGTGAGTGAACTGACCCCCTTTTTTCTCCAGGTGCTGAAGAGGATGAGGATAGTGCAGCGATAACAACATCCAGAACAATTCCAAAGCTACCGACAACTAGTGATGCATCTAGGGCTGAGACCACCACGGTGAAAATGCAGACCAAGGTGCCTGCACAAACACAGGTGCGTGACTGGAGAGCAACACCATTCAGAATGGCTCCACTGTACCCCAATGGCTTGTTGTTAATTTTGTTTGATTTCTCCGGATCAAAACGCCCCAAAAAACTTCACTTAATGCTGCTCAGCCTGTCAAATGAATACAGAGCTTCTCAGTTTCATTCCTACTAGAAAGGCTGCCTAGGGACATCTGGATTTCACATGAAAGAAAAGAGAGATTAAAAAAAAGAGTATGTCATTATACACAAGACAGTTTCTCATGATAGCTTTGAGTTCAAGCTGTACCTTTTCTATATCTCTCAAAATATTGCCAGTTTCCATTTACTATTTCAGTATTTCCTTCTACCACCATAGAATGCCTCAGAGGCATTCTGAATACAACATACCTGTGTTCATTTCAGAATGGTTAATTTCATTCAGAGGCCATTCTTCTGATCGACACAGGCAATATTTAACAGCTGTTTGCTAAATATACTTTTAGGGGGGTTAAACTTGTGGATAGTGTTTTGCATTCCAATATTGTGACGACAAATAGATCCAGTTACAATGTCTAGCACAGTTTTCTGCAGTCAAAAAGCTTCCTGTGTGTTGTGTTTGTGGGTATTGTGGAGGATGTGCGTGGAGCCACAGCTTGGTGGCTGCCCATGGCAGGCAGTGACTGTGCTGACTTGTGCTGTGCCCTGTCTGTAAACGCTGCTGTTTTCCTTTTTGTGCCACAGTCACCAGAGGAAATTGATAAAGAGGAAAGGCCCCAGACAGATGCCAAGAAAAAGAGCGATGAACCAGGGGAAGACACGGACGTGTTCACTGAGAAGCATTCAGAAAACCTTTTCCAGAGAACAGAAGTTCTGGCAGGTGAGGTGACGTTTGCCAAGGTCCATCTTTCCAGAAATACCACAGAAAAGAGAGGGGGATCCATATAAAATAATGCAAACTCAGCATTTATCTTTTCTTGATAGATTCTTAAATACATTCATGGGGGTGGCTGGTGGTTAATCTGATGACAATGAGATTGGCATCTTCTAGAGTTATTTAATAGTGAAGTCTTGCCAATTGATTTGATGCCCACAAGTTGAATACTGCCTGCTGAATATTTGGAGCTTCCACAGCTTGGAAAGGGAGTTGCAGTTTGGATTAATGGTTGCAGTGCAGAAATGTATTTCTCAGCCCCACGCCTGAGAGCACGTCACTGTCATCTGGTGTGGATGGACAGTATCTGGGAGGAGCTTATGGCAGGGGTGGGTGGATAGAAAGGGATGGATGAACGCTCTCCTTAGGATACAGAGGGTCTTTTCCCATCCATAACCCCAGGAGGACACAGGTTGGCCACTGAAGTATTCCCAATGCTTTCCTGCATGTGACGTTTTTTTTTGCAAAAGAAGAGTGTTTACCAGTATACTTTACTCGTTGTGTCCTTGGAGATGGTGTTAGGAACCATGAAGGACACACAGTTTTGGATCACATCTTCTCCTCTGAGCACCAAAATGTGAAATTGCTTTAATATCCATGTCAGTGAAAGCATGCAGGTTTGCTCTTAAAGTCTAGTTGGAGTTGATACTTTCTACACAGTTGCAAGGGCACAACGAATGTTCCTGCAGCTCCGTGAAATGCTCTTTCCTCTTACTCATCAATAGGAAATCCATTCCAGTTTCAAGTCAGAGTGAAAACTGATGCAGAAAGGGAAACCCCATTTCTTAGCTAGTATGACAGACAAAGTAGTTCTTTTGAGGCTGAAAATGCTAACTCTTGAAAAATGACTTGGAAAGAGACTTAAATGTTCTTACTATAAATGAACAGAACTTCATGCTGTGGCAGTAAGGGTGTCTTACTGAGGTTTTGGAAAGTTTTTAGTAACTTTTTTAGAACTGTGTGTTGTTGGATCACTCACTCCTTTTAAACGTTTGCCTTCATAAACACAAACGGGCTTTCCGAGAATATATTTCAGGATGCTAATAATCAAAACAGTTGCATAATGCCAGTCCTTTCTGTAATTTGAACGCAATTGCAAGCTCGTTGTGCGAGACAAAAAAGAAACAGGGTGCTCCACTTGTTTTTCTGGCATATTGTGAATCTCTGTTTCTTTGATTACAGCTGTTATTGCTGGCGGAGTTATCGGTTTTCTTTTCGCAATCTTCCTCATCCTGCTGCTGGTCTATCGCATGAGAAAGAAGGATGAAGGCAGTTACGACCTTGGTGAACGTAAACCATCCTGTGCTGCCTATCAAAAGGCACCTACCAAGGAGTTTTATGCATAAAATTCCTACTTAGTGTCTCTATTTATGAGATCACTGAACTTTTTTAAATAAAGCTTTTGCATAGAATAATGAAGATTTTTTTTTTTTTTCCATTAAAGAGCCATTACGGCACCTTTATGATAAAATCCCATTGTATTTAAAACTTTCCATGTATTCCTTTAAAAATGTAAAATTAAAACTTAACATTTGCAGTGTTCTGTGAATAACAGTGGCAAAGCATTATTTTATAAAACCATTGATGTTCACTGAATCATTTTTAAAACTTTATGCATAAATATAAAATAATGAAAATGATTGTTTTATCCTATGGTTCAATGAAAGTTGTTTAATTTTTTTCAGCATGTCTCAAATTGATCTGACAAGTTAGTTTTTATTTCATTAATTTATCTGTTTCCAAAAAATGCCTTTTTGTAGTTGTCATGGTGCAATTTGTCTTCAGATAATTCAGATAACAGTAACTTTTAGTGTAAATGTAATTTTTCAGCTATGTAAACTTTAAACTCCACTTTGTATAAATTTAAGTGTCAGAATATCAATTTTACACTTTGCAGTGTTTCTCAGCGTACCTGTAGCTTCAGTGAGATTTGTAACAGCAAATTACTGTGTAAAATTGGATTATTACTACAACTGTATAGTCGTATTCTTACTAAACAAATCTGTAAGGAAGATTTGGAGTAAGCTACTGACAAACCTAAGCAAACCCAAAGACTCTTAACAGTATTTTGAGAAGTTGCTGCAGATTTCTATGGCCACTGTATTTGTTAATTATTTGCAATTTGAAGGTACCAGTAGGGGTTTAAATTTTTGTTCTTTAAAAATGCATTTAAGTTGTAAACGTCTTTTAAAGCCTTTGAAGTGCCTATGATTATATGTAACTCGTCGCAGACTGGTGTTAATGAGTATATAACAGTAAAAGAAAATGTTGGTATTTTATAAGCACAGACAATTCTAATGGTAACTTTTGTAGTCTTACATGGATAGACATAATTGTAATTTGGGAACATAAACACTACTGAATAAATCATGTGGCCTAATACTGAGAATTCCATTGTGATATACTTTTGTATGCTTTTCATTTTATGTCTATTTGCTTATGTTTTAATGTCACAGAGTACATCTAGTAGGTCTTAAAAGTCCAGACCAAAAGAAAAAAACCAACAAAAACCAACAAACCCAACGCTGTTGATCATGGTGATCCTTCGACCAGATTTATTGCTGAGAAAAGTGGGGTTGTTTTAAGTCTTGCATCTGGTATACGAGTCATAAGTCATTCGACCTTTGCATTATATTTAATGGCAGTATTGACACAGACCTGTTCTTCCTGCAAATGTTGTTGTCCGTAATGTAAAACTCAAAGGAGACCCCACTTTCATTTATTGTGTATATTGGTTTTTAATTTGTTGTTCTGGTTTGTTTTCTTCCCCGGCCTTTTGGAGAATTTTGGTTTACTCTGCTCGGACTCCAGCAGAAGAGTTGGGACAAGTGGAATGTCTTCGTAAGAGAAGAAAGAAATGTTCCAAGTAGAAGAAGAAGGCTCTGTTGCTTAAACCGCAAATAGGTGTTGCATAGAGGGGCACGTGGAGAAGACGATAGTCTGCCTCCTTATATAATGCTTTGTAACAGACAAATGGCTTCGTCTTCTACTCTGTTAACCTCTTCTCTTTTTTTTTTTTTCCCTTTTTTTTTCTTTCTTTTTTTTTTTTTTTTTTGGTTTTTAATTTGTTGTTCTGGTTTGTTTTCTTCCCCGGCCTTTTGGAGAATTTTGGTTTACTCTGCTCGGACTCCAGCAGAAGAGTTGGGACAAGTGGAATGTCTTCGTAAGAGAAGAAAGAAATGTTCCAAGTAGAAGAAGAAGGCTCTGTTGCTTAAACCGCAAATAGGTGTTGCATAGAGGGGCACGTGGAGAAGACGATAGTCTGCCTCCTTATATAATGCTTTGTAACAGACAAATGGCTTCGTCTTCTACTCTGTTAACCTCTTCTCTTTTTTTTTTTTTTCCCTTTTTTTTTTTTTTTTTTTTTTTTTTTTTTTTTTTTTTTGAGATTTCCAAAATACAGGTGTTCAGGACCTCAAGCTGAACTGTTTCTCAGAAATGTATTGTAAATAAGATCTGGTAGCTCTTCAGATAAGAGTTGCATAACTTGTTATTTGTTGCTGTCCCAGGTTCAGTGGTCATTTAGGAACAAACGAATGCTATCCTGTGCTAAAATACTTAATATATTGCTTTTTAAATTACTTATACTTACTGGCAAGATTTTTAAAGCCATACAAGTTCAACAAGTAAAAACAGGGTAAGAATTTAACAGGTATATCTTATTGTGCAATATTTAGTGAAATTCAATTATTAAAACAACTGCTTGAAATAACTGTGCCAAGAAAAGAAAATTTCTGGCAAATGCTGTGCCACTGCTGTAAAATAAAGCATTTGTTAAAGTGCCAAAATAAAGTCTACCATGCCTAAACTAATACTTTATTTGTATAGTCTGACATCCAGTTTTTTGAAGCCCACTTTGCTTAAGGTAGTAGATCTGAATTTTATTGAAGGGTGCAATGAATATCACTGTAAGTAGAGCTATAAATCCTAAACACCAGATAAATTGTCTCTTTCATAAGCGAACTGGTATTTAGGAGCTGTTCTTTTTATTTATAAAAGTTAGACTCTGCCTGTATACTTAATGCACAGGACACTATCAAATGTAGGCATCTGTTTTAATTATTCAGGCTATCAAATATTATGCTTGTCAGGCTCCTCCTGCATCTGCTTACAAGCAGAAGCAATGGTAAAGGTGCAGCTCTAACCTCTCACTTTTTTCCCCTACACATCCCTGATCCTCCCTGTTACATGCAGAAGAGGTTCAACGCTTCAGCTCCGCACACAGACTGAAAGTACCGCAGTCTTCCCACCCTCCCTAACAAAACTTGGAACTTCTTTAACATGAAATAGGCATGATAGTAGCATTTCTCATCTCACGATCTCTGCCTTTCTCTGTTCAGGGCCAAACCCTTCTGTTGGGGAGAAATTCTGACAGAGCTATCATCTCGCTTATAAGCACCAGTTCAGTTTCCGTGGGTCTGAAAAGCAGGCTGGCACGGACACCGGCTTCCAGCAAGGCTCTTCAGAAGGAACGGGCAGCTGAATGTGCCTCTCCTGCACTCAGCCTTCCTAGCACGAGTTGCTCTTTGGTTTTGCTTCCCTTTTGTTCCTCCCTTCCTGGATGCGTTTCTAGCAATTCTCTGGCTGCTCTTCGATGTTGCTGGGCAGCTGGGAGTCCCAGTGCCAGGCTGTGGGTGCTGCGCCACATCCCTGCAGCCAGCAGCAGCATCTGTACCTCTGGGATGGCTTTTCCTAAAGACCCTCAGCTCTTCTCTGCTTGAGCTCCTGTAGCAGCTCTGAAATTCCTCAGCAACCTGATCCGGTGCCTCCTTGTGATTGATGGGCTCTAGTGTTTATCAAAACGCCATGTTGCTTTGATTTAGTCTGGGTTACAAATGGTTACTTCCTCTTAGATTCTTTGCAAATGAAGCCTGATGCAAGTAACATAAAGCTTATGTTAAAAGAAGTCTCCTGCCTTTGCTTTATTAATGGAAAACTAACTTCAGAAGTTGAGTTCCTTCTTCTGCTTGCCAGCTTTAGAAGTGAATTCTAGCTGAATTCTAGTGTTGCTAATTTTTTCTTCACTTTGAGGAGTGCACTTCATTGAAATAGGATGAACTAAAATGAAAATTGTCCTCTTGTATCTCCTCACAAGAGAACAGCATGTTTGTAACTTTGGTGAGCTGTTGCTTTTTTTCTTTCCCTTGGAGCTGAGTATTGAAAAGATGGTTGAATGCAGTCTTAAATGACAGATACTATTTTCAAGCAACATACAGACTACAGGAAACTATTGTAAGGAAAGAAGTATCCAAATAAACATTGAACTATTGGTGGGAGGGAAATGATGATAACATGCTTAGTATTACATCCTTTGTTCAAGTAAGCAAACAACAGACGGGGGAAAAGGAATCTGAGGGGAAAAAGATCTCTAAGGAAACTGTTCTTACAGATGGAAATACTACAGCAAGTTTTTAAAAACTTGCAATCAGTTATTTATTACTTAACACTTGCTTAATCAGACTGAAACAATTTCCTTTAAGGAATTTTTAACATTGTCCATTTTTAATCAACATTAATAATAGTTTTGTTACATTTAAGCTCTTGCCTGTGTTTAACAGAACTATGAACCTTGGTGTGAAAACTCTGCGCTGTGAACTTTTTGAGCATTGCTTTTCCAAATCTTTAGTCAGGTTAAAGCAGCACAATTTTGCTGTACAGTTTGTCTGAGAAAAGATACAGCAAGTATCCCCCTCCCTGGCACATCTGCTGGTCCTGGGATGGTTCATGGCTACAGCTGAAGAGCAGTTTTGCCAAGGAACTGGAGCAGGAGAAGGGGACGCTGACGTATTTCATTTCCTCCTGCCTCTTGGGCTGACCAGGCACTGGGTTCAGCTGTGTGGGTGGGAGAGGAGGAGCTGTAACCCAACCCTGCCAGTGGAAAAGATGCCTTGCAGAGATTTCTTTGCATGTGAAGGAAAGTAAGTTGTATATTTTTTTTCTTTGCAAACAAACAAACGATAAAACTTAAGCTCAGTAGAGCTAGAAATGGAAATGTGGGCTCCTGCCCTGACCCCTGTGAACCAATTTCACATGTGCATCGGATGCGCAGAGTAGCTGCTCGTGTGGGTGGAAACACTGAAAAACCCTCTCTGTGTTTGTAGTATCTGAGCTTAGTTTCTAGTGGGGACTGAGGAGAGCAGGGACAGGGGCAGAGGCCATGTAGATCTACAGACATTTATTTGGAGTGAGTGGAAAGAAGGCAAGAAGAGAAACTGTCCTGACAGCCTACATTTTCCACTGGAAGTTTCAAGGCATTTTGTTTTCTTGAGTCGTTGCTGTCACACTGAATTTACGCTTAACAGAGAGAATCTGTAGGTAGGAGATTGGGCAGATGTTGGTGTCATAACCTGAAAGACTCTCGTGGTTGCACACAGCTATCCAGCACGTCAGAGGTCCCTGCTACCTGCTGCACGTTGCCAGTCGCAGCTTCTGCTGGCTGCTTATCTCCAGGATTTGCAGAGGAACTGCTGCAGCAAAACAGTTGGAGGATCTACCAGACTGACCCCATGCACCTTCTGTTGCCCACAAGAGGTGCTGGGAGGGTGGCACGAGGAAAAAATTAGGGTGCACTTGGAAGGGTCTGGGCTGTCTTTTGTCTGTGGAGGGTGGGAAGAAACAGATGACATACGCAACTGGGGCTTTGCAGTTGAGATGTGCTGTTGTATATTGAAGCAACTTCCCATTTCTTTTCCATGCTTGGGAGATGTCAAGCTTTCACTACCCATAACTCCTTCAATAATGAACGTGTTTACGGGGTAGCCTACAGACCTCTTGATTTTTTAAATTCCCATTGCATCTTGAAAACTGTGTGTAGTTGGACTGAGGGGCACTATCTCATGGCTGAAGGTCAGGTCCAAAGAATTCCCCCTGCTTGGCAGTTCAGTCCTGACCTGGAGTGAAAAGTGGAAATGCTTGTGAAAATCTTACAGACAAATATTGCATAAACCTGTAACAGTTTGTTGAAAACAGAGCCTAAGTTCTCTATAAGGGGTGGCTTTAATTATTTTAGATTTATTCTAGGGCATTATGCAATTTTTTCCTCCACGGATCTTTTGTTGATCGGTTGAATGCAGAGGAAGCTTCTGATTTTTTTTTCTATTTTTAATCCTAAAATGAACCAAGCATTGACATATAAGGAATAATAATTCCACCAGACAAACTACTTGAAGTTTATTTAGTGGTGGGAAACTAAGCTAAGTGGATGAAAAAGTTCTGTGTTGTAGCCACCCACCCACCATGTATGGCCATATGTAGTCCCAGGGGCTCAACTAAGTTTGCTGCCCATTTTCCTGAGCTCCTGTGGTGGAACAGGAGCTTTACCTAAACACTGCAGCTCCCCAGAGGCTACCAAAGAGAAATGGGAACAGACTTACTTTTTTATGGTTT